AACGCGTGACGTCATTTGTATATAAACAAACTAGGCAAAGTGTACTTGGCACTTGCAAGCACTTTGATTTTTAATTTCTATCTTGTCTCGAAAATTTCGAGAACCTCGACGATTCTTTGACTTTAGTAAATTTCTTTATTAAGAAATGAAAAACTTTCATAAATATGTGATTTTATAGTTTTAATGAAGAACTTGGTTAAAAACTCAAATTTTGACTGCCTAAGTCTATGAGTAAAATTATCTTTTCCGGTGTTTTCGAGACCGCACCGAGTCTCGGCTATTTTTCCTGAGACGTGGAAAAGCAGCGAGACTGAAGACCCTAATTATTAGCAGAAATGCAAAAAACTGCGTATAAATGTTATACTTTAAAACGTAATGTTTAAATAAGCGTGCTTATAAAAGGACTTTTCATTTAAATGCTTTTTAGTTTAAAGCTTATAAAATCTTTATAACATTTAATACTTTATACACTTACACACATACACTACATACATACTCTTTATGTTAAAAAAACCTTGGAACATTATGTTGACAGCGAAAAGCGAGAGTTGGCCGCTGAAGGTTTTCAGATAAGCAAGTTTATTTCTAAAATATGAGCTTTGTTTTTATTCACACTAGTGAAAGAAAAGAAACAAAACAAAATAAGAACAGAGATGATCAAAAAATTAAGTTGTTGTAGTGTTAATAACCTACAGACACCTCCTATGAACACTACAACATAATTTTTTGATCATCACTGTTCTTGTTTTGTTTTGTTTCTTTTTTTCCACAAAATTCGTTATTTTGTTTCTTTTTCGACTTTTCTTCTTTTGTTTCTTTATTTATTTGACAAAATTAGTGGACATTAATTTTTTAATATTAGCTATGATATTAGTAAATACAATAAGGTTGTTTGCGTTAAAACAGAAAATGATAAAACAATAAGTTGGCGTTGTGGTAATTGGCGGTATCGACATAATGCAATTGTTGAATATTGAACTGAATAATTACAAGCGTGCTTTTATATTAAAAAACAATTTTTAAAGTGCTTTTCATTTAATCGCCATCCTCTAGTTAGTAGTCTTGGTGGACATAAAAATTTGACTTTTTTTGTTGTTTCCACGGGTAATAGACTTCGGCACCTCACGTCGTTGTCACTTATCGCCGGATTAATTAATAAGAACATGAAGTTTTTTTTAAATGAGCTATCAGTCAACGTTCAAGGTTGCCTATATTCTGAATGATAAATTGTCTTGGTCACTTCCTTAGACAAACGATTACACTTAAATTTAAACCAGTTAAGATCAATATCTTAGGGTTTATGTTGAGTGTGTGCGTTATTATTATTGTTTTATAAGGTTATTAATTCCTATAAATAAATAACCATTTTTACGGGTATACATAGCGTAATTTTTTTTTAACAAACCAAAGTTTCGGTCTCTTTACAGGTCCAAGGCAACCGTGGACGTGGTTGCTCCCACAAAGTAAAGATCTCGAAACGTTGGTTTGTTTAAAAAAAGATATATACGTGAGTAAGATCCAAAAAATAGTTACATTCTCAGTTAACTAAATTAAATACGGAGTGTTAAAATTGTCGCTAGCTAAATAATGAATTTTTCAATTAAAACTTAGTTAATTTCCCATTAAAATAAAAAAAAGCAATACAAAATTAAAACATACCTCCTCGACACTAGGCGTAGTCAACTCCACATATGTAGTTCTACATTTCGCCAAACTAAAATGCACAACAATAAGGCACAGCATGAAATTAAAACGACCCATAATCGGCAAGAAGACGAACGGCGTGTAAAGTAAATGACATTTGACTGATGATATATCATCTACTCTACATACTTGGTAGTGCGTATCTACGCTGTTGTATTATCGCGGAAATTGACGCGTTACCGCCTTACGGAGGGTAACAGCTTGTTGCCGGTCTGAGTGAAAAAATGTTATGAGTGTAAGGTCGCTAGGCAAATGCCCGAGAAATACCAGGTTACTGCTTTACTACATTGAAGCGCAGGCCACACCGCGAACGAAGCTAGCTGACTTAGCTTAGCACACGTGCACATGCAACCAACTATGCCAGCTTTTTTTGTGGATCCGGGAGAATCTGCTTACAGATACCCCAGCCCCGCGGGGGCAGAGCCGGGGTTATGTGGGACTGGGCTGAACCCTGAAGGGGAGCAGCCCAACCGCACTAAGCCCGGAGTGTTCCTCCTCTCCGCTGTAGGTGGGTACGCTGTTACACTCGTCCGTGCCCCTACCAACGGCTGGCCGCGCCTTGCGCAGCCCCTCCCCGAGAAGGGAAACATATCTGTCCCCCGACTCTGAATGTGAGGCTCGCCGAACACCAGACGAGCTTTCCGTCCCGGGCCCCTCTGTGCTAGGCAACGAACTTCCCGAGTCCGCTACCCAGGGGGCCATGGGGGGCAAGGACAGCATCCACTCACTGTGGAGTTCAGTGGCTGCTCCCCCAGCCCCCGCAGCGGATCTGATGGCAGGCTCCGCCGCAACACCTAACGCGTATTCGCGGGCACTCTCCGAAGAGAGTTCCTTAGATCGCCAACCACCAAGTTCGGTCGCGGAGGACAGTACGAGCGGCAACGACACACCGACACGTCTATCCCCCCAGCGCTGATCCGCTGACCAGTACAAATACGTAGTAAGTAGTGATTATGAATACGTGCGGGGGTGAAGGGCGGCAGAGTCGTAGACTTCGGTATGCGGATAGCGACCCCATAATGGAGATGGGCAGGACTCGTTGCTAGGGGGGACGACGACCGATGGACCAAGGCGGTCACTGACTGGTACCCAGTAAGAGTGAAACGTCTTCAAGGTAGACCACCTGATAGATGGTCGGGCGATATCGTCGGGGTGGCCGAAATATTGTGGACGAGACTCGTACAGGACCGATTGAGCTGGCGTGTCCATTCCATTCTGATCGCAAGCCTACGAGAGGATCCGTATGCGAGGAATCTTCCAGTACCAGATTTACCACATCTATTCTGCGGCATTGTGTGTCAGTCGCACAACGCTCAAGTCCTCATTACCTTTTTCCAACGTTTAATTTATAAAAGTTTTTTTCAATTGACCAACGACTTTAGTCCGAGACAGTATCTCTGGTGAACGCCCTAAAGGCTTATCAAGAGAATGCAAGGATTTCTATATGGTGCATCAATCATTTAATTAGTTATTCAATTAGTCACTTCCCCAGGAACTGGCATACTGCATTGATATAGTACGCAGTAAAATCAGAGAGCGAACAAAAGGCCTGAATTATTTTATACTCTGGCCTACGGAAGGTCGGCAAATTTTTATTTTTTTTCAATTTACCGGTAACGGTATGACACAAAAAGGGCCTAAAATAGGTATTAAAAAGGGTATTAACTTTTGACACCAAATTCTAGCACCGCTAGTATGTCCTTTTCACGTCGATACCTATATAATAAGTATCGAACCTTTTTCTTTCCACGGGTAAATTAATGAGGCGCGGGAGACTTTCTTTTCCACAAGGCCAAACCGTCACAAAGGAGTATTATCAGGAGGTTCGACGGTCTTCGTGAATCTGTGAGCAGCAAAAACTCGGCAGCTCCATCATGATACGCACCTGCCCATTGATTCAGACCTTCCTGGCCAAATACAATATTCGCAAAGTTGTTTTGTTTCTCGTGCCTTGAAACCGTCGCTACGCTCAGGATTCTCGCTTCGCTCGTGGTTCAATCTTAGAATCCTTCGCTTGCTCAGTTCAAACAGTAACTTTGCCTTGCATAACAAATAACTATTTTTGCCAACAAAGAATCGATACTTTTTGAGCACCCTTTGTACACTTTTCCCATCACTTTTAGCGAACGCCAGAGCTTGTGTTCACATTTGACAACAATGTTTATGTTACCAGCAGACGTAACTAGTTCTTTATAATGCGGCAACGTGGCGACGGTCATAAATTTAGATTATAAGACAATAAATGGTTGCCATTTTGTGGGAGAAATGTATTATACATGTCCGGGCTGTTGACGAATAGCTCAACTGAGGGTTTCTAACGTTTTCAAGTAAAACTCCTGCTTCATGTATATACTATGTAATCACGTAGTTTTTGGTACAATTGTGTTAAATAAAATTATATAAGTAAGAACGGCGTGGCGGACGGTAAAGGAGTGCTGGCGCGCGGAGGTGTCCGCTGCGCTTATCTCACCCCTCAGGAACTGGTTCCGCCGCCGTACTCTGACGCAGCAGCGTTAACACACATGTTGCTGTGTATTATAAAAGGAAAATGGAAGGATGGATAAAAAAAGGAGAAACAAAATTTAAAAAACAAATTGTTTGTTAAAAGTTTATATTGTACATCAACTATGATTTGTTTTAGAGGTAGAACATCCTACTCTTAAAGTAAATTGCTAACAATACATGATTACGTTAATCAATAATCAAATATCCATGGTCGCGTTAATATTTTGTTAATTAATATCTTTTTAGGCGGAATGAATAACTCAAGTAACTCAAAATCTGAACAGACTGAAGAAAATTGACTTCATATACCTATAAGAAACGAGCGAGCTCCTACAGCAGTGTGGGAACAGATGATTATGATAAAAAAGAGAAAATAAATAGATGAAATTGTTTATTTTTAATATTTTATAAAAGCATTTTCGCAGTGTGTGATCATCTTTTGACTTATATGACAATAGAGAAATTAACTTTCTGTGACCAGTGTCGTAAAAACCTCGTGTCCGGCAATCTTCATTTTAGGACTCGACTACAATACACAAGACTCGACTCGTAAAGACAGAGACTCCACTGCTCGATGTATTACGATACTATCACTTTCCGAATAGACTCGAGTTGGACATTAGTGCTCCAGTCTATTTATGTAACGAGTCGAGTTCTTTTTAGACTCGAGTCCGTATTCTGATGACGACTCGGACTCGTGAGTATTTTAGGCCACCGAGCCGTGCAAAATTGAGTCGAGTTTATAAACGTAGACTCCCGGACTCGAGTTTTCTAGAATACTATCTGTGACAGGTTTCAGTTTTAGTTTTAACGTCTATAACTGTTCAAATCAGTCAGTCAGAGATTGGAGTGACTGATCTCGCTGCCGACCGCGTAAAATGTTTGTATACAAAATGTTGTTTCTTCTTGTGACGGCTAGAGGTGCTGTATAATTTGCCATACAAAATTGTGAAGTAATTTACGCGGTCGGTTGCGACAACTGTCACATTCATTTCGTGGTAGACGCACTTGCAAGTCACTCCCACTACGCCTGTCACACTGAGACAAAAGTCGACAAGTCACATGCGCCTGTAGTTTCAACTGCACCCTTACCATTCAATACTGAAAAGCAGTAATCACAATACTGACAAGCAGTAATCACATTACTGCTTGTAAGTTAAGTGCGTATAATTTTAGTTATAATTAAACATATCCACGGGCTTTGAGTAGAAATGTTAAGTCTTAGACCTTTGAATGAAGGCCGTCAGAGAATCACACTTATTTGTCAAGTTAAAGTATAATTTATTACATGGGAGAAATTCACTGTGAGTCGTTTCCTAGCTACGGCGTCCACCACCAGCCGCCCAGAGGAAATTTTCGAAAATGCTTATGCTTTATATATAGGCTTATTATAGGTAGACAAATATATCTGTTCAATTATCCAAGAGAAATTATCTTCTGCCGTGTCATCTGTATAGTATAGTATAGTATAGTCACTGCTCGTTTCATATATAAAAAAGTATTTAGCAATAAGAAAATTGTGCAAGTAGCTGTAAGCTACTGAAAATCACGACATTCAGTCTGTTTAACATAAGAAGTAAGTAATAAAATTAGTTATATACTCGACGTTAAAATTATTTCGTGCTATTATGGCAACCCTGAAAATAATTGCACTGTGTTGCCAATTAAAATTTTGTATTAAATAAAATGTATGTCGTATTAGCACGAAATAATAGAAACATTTAACAAAATTATTGTATACTTTATTTCGTTTATTTTCACAAAAAAATAAATTTATCACAGAAAACAATAAATACTACACGTAAATAAAAGATGGCAACTTATATTATGCACCTTGTTATAAACGACGCTTATAATATAATATTTATTATAATAATTAGAATAATAGAAATAAAAAAAATATAATTCTACAAACAAATCGCAATAAAGCAGACAAGACAAATCCGCCGATAATTTTAAGTTTTTTTTTATTTATATAATAATAAATCAGGCAATCATTTTAATTTACATTATGCCTGAGTGTGGACAGTGTTAATTCGTATGGTCTCGAACGTAGAATATCGATATTTTCAATCAGTGTTTTAGCACTGAAGTTAGGTAGGTGCCTTTGTAAACTTGTCATGGAAACCACAATGTTACAAGATTATACACCATTCTTAGTCAATTATTCTCTTGATAAGTGGTATGACATAGCTTATTTCGGTCTATGTGTCTAGATGCATTATTGAAGTGTCAAATATATCCCTTTATAATCTGAATTTTCCTTTGAAGGGATGTAAGTAAGTAAAGGGTTTTAATTAAAGGGTCAAATTTTGACAGTGTTGTTGAACCAGCTTTTGTCAAACGAGTTATTTATTTCTCAGTCACTAAAGGCAAATTATCATGACAAGTGTCGAGCAACACGTGCGAATAACAAAAAAATATTATCAAAATGGGTGTTCCATTGTGGCAACGATGCGCGCGTAATAGACTGCTATGGGTTCTCCGGTAGACTCAAATCTTTTACAAAGATGTTGCTATGACAAAATATAAGGCACCTAGACATAAAATCTAAAATAATAATAAGCGCTAAGCAATAAATTGTACATACAAACTAAATCTAATTTAAATTAAAAAATAATTATAATTTAAAATATAAGAATATAGTTTTACTAATCGATTGAGGAATGTAATTTTGAACGAATATTTGTTTAAAAAAAATATAAAAAATTTTAAATATTATGATATATGATAATGATAATACAAAAAAATCACATCAAATTTTGTTATAAAACAACATTTGGCAAATATCATTTTCCATACTGCAAACTTATATGAAGAAGGCCGTGATAACTACCCCCTTATCCATTTTCTAAATAATTTAATAACGGGAATTACGTCAAAATCAACATCATCAACCTATTGCAGTCCACTGCTAGACATAGGTCTGCTCCAATGTGCGCCACTTGTGCCGATCCTCAGCCTTTTGCAAATCGTCACCCCATCTTACTTTTGCCAAGCCGTGGTCACTAACTCAAGAATCTCAATAACTCGTTGCCCCTCTAGGTTATCTGTTGCTACGTAAAAAAAATCATGAATTCCCCGTACACAAAACTGTGAAGTTAAAGTACCATTTTCTTTTTTATAAGATGCATTGCGAGGACTTTGTCTTTACGGTTTTTATTCTGAAGGACATCTGCTGTTGGCTGCTGATGGTT